TAACTCGTCAAAAGTATATTATAATGGGAATTCGACCAAAAAAAGCACGAACTTTGCACGAATTGCCAAAAAAAAACATGAACTCTTAGGGTGGCCAAAAAAATCACAAACATTTCATTGACTTTAGAATTAAATAACAAAGTTTTCGTTGACTTGCCAATTTAGCACGCCGTCAACAAATTTAACAGAAAAAAATTGATGTGTCGTTAAGTGAAACGAGAGATGAAACGACGTCGTTTTACATGAATTTGAAAATAAAATCATGTACACCCACGGATTCGAACCCAGAATGGTTGGGTCAAATGTCAAGGCATTTTACCACTAGATTACTAACAATTTCAATGTAATTAGTAACACATTTAATTTTATTTGGTACTGATTACATATAAAAATTGTCTAAAAACTTAAAAAGATCTTTAAAATTACAAAAAAATAAAAAAAAATAAAGATTTTTTTATAAAATTAATTTTGCAATTAAATAAAAAAAAAATTTTATTTTTTCCTTAAAAATTCAAAAATCTTCCAAAATATTAATTTTTAAAAACAATTGCTAAAAACTAAAATTACTTATAAACACAAAAATACCCACATATTAAAATTAAACTAAAGTTCTTAAAATAAATATTGTACCCAGTATGAGTGTGATTTTAATTTTGTCAAAAACTTAAAAAGATCTTTAAATTTCCAAAAAGTTGAAGAAATAAATTTTTTTATAAAATTAATTTTGAAATTAAAATAAAAAAAATTTATTTTTTCTTTTAAAAATCAAAAGTCTTCCAAAATTTTTAGTTTTAAAAACAAATGCTAAAACTGAAATTAATTATAAACACAAAATTAATTTTGAAATTAAAATAAAAAAAATTATTTTTCTTTAAAAAATCAAAAGTCTTCCAAAATATTCATTTTTAAAAACAAATTCTAAAAACTGAAATTAATTATAAACACAAAAAATACCCACATATCAAAATTAAAAGTCTTCCAAAATATTCATTTTTAAAAACAAATGCTAAAAACTGAAATTAATTATAAACACAAAAAATACCCACATATCAAAATTAAAAAATGAAATTAATTTTGATATGTGGGTATTTTTGGTGTTTATAATTAATTTCAGTTTTTAGCATTTGTTTTTAAAAATGAATATTTTGGAAGACTTTTGATTTTTTTAAAGAAAAATAATTTTTTTAATTTTAATTTCAAAATTACTTTTGTGTTTATAAAAATTCAAAGAAAATTCAAAAAATTAAGTTAAAACTATTAGATAAAAATTAAAATCACACTCATACTGGGTACAATATTTATTTTAAGCATTTTAATTTGATTTTTATATGTGGGTATTTTTTGTGTTTATAATTAATTTCAGTTTTTAGCATTTGTTTTTAAAAATGAATATTTTGGAAGACTTTTGATTTTTTTTAAAGAAAAATACTTTTTTTAATTTTAATTTCAAAATTAAATTATAAAAAAATCTTTATTTCTTCAACTTTTTGGAATTTTACAGATATTTTTAAGTTTTTAGACAATTTTTGATATTCAATCGGTAGCAAATAAAATTAAATGTGTTAGTAATTACATTGAAAGTGCCATTAGCCCAGTGGTAAAACGCCTTGGCATTTGACTCAATCAACCCAGGTTTGAATCCTCGGGTGTACATGTTTTTATTTTCAAATTCATGTAAAACGACGTCGTTTCATCTCAATTGAAAACGACGTCGTTTCACCTAACGGCAACATTTAACGTTGCATTTAACGCTATGCTGATATGGCCAGTCAATATTAAGTTGCTTAATAAACCAAAAAAAGTTAACAGAAGTACAGATTTTTTTTGGCAAGGCTCGAGTACAGATTTTTTTTGGCAATTCGTGCAAAGTTCGTGTTTTTTTGGTCGAATTTCCATATTATAATTGAAGGGAAAATTTAAACAATTATTGGATAAAAACATGGTAAGAGCAACTCCAATGGTGATACTCCCATTGAAGTCCTTAACCAGTAAAAAATTGTTTTTAAAATTTTTTTTTTTTTAATAGTTAAGGATTCTAGTCTAAATTGTATGTCCAATGGTGTTCTCCACTTAAGAGTCCTTAAGAATAAAAAAAAAAAATTTAACACTTAGAAAATGAAAATTGTATTTATTGCATAATTAAATAAAAACTACAATAATTATTTATTACATGATTAAATATAAAAATACAATAATTACTTATTTCATGATAAAAAATATAAAATCCTACAACTTGTTGTATCTCTTGCAACTTCACATCCTACCACAAGCATGGAGCACATAAAGGTATTCCTAACTTAACAAAATCCTTACAATTTACACAAAATGTAGATATAAAGGGATACCTGACAGATCAAAACTAGCAATATACACATGAGGTGACAAAAGATTCCATATAGGAAGCTGATCAAATGTCAGTGTATGACAATAATGAAAATATGAAGCAAACTCCACAGGGTGATTTTTGCATAGAACCTGCAAAAGGATGGGATATGAATATCCAGTCGAATAAGGAAAACAGTTATGCCGCACAGTAGAGAGTGGGAGAGGTCAACACACCTGCCTCTTAGGAAATACAGAAGCACATATCCAAGAGATTCTAGGTCATCCCTTCGACTTTGCTCTTTGAAACAAAAACCAAAGTATATGAGCGTATAGTCATAAATTATCTACTACATAAAGAAACCAGGTGGAAGCATTCCTTACCAATACTATAATCAACAATGTCCAAAAAAAATACTTGTAAGGGATGTGGCGGTTGGTGTTGGCATCACGGTATCTTTTGGCAAGTCAGGTTTGATATCTCTATGCAGATATCCTTTGGAGTGTACATAATTTATTCACGTAAGCTGTAACAGCAGTAAGATAAAAAAGATTGGAATCATAACACAAAAGATTAATGTAAGCAAGCCAAAACACATGGCATACCATTTGATCAGCTAACAGCAAGACTGTCCTTGGTGAGAACTTCCTCCCACAATACACGAACAGATATATCTTCAAGACTTGGTCCTAGCAAATCCATAACTAAAGCATTCTCTGTTCCATCCACTCCAAACCATCTTATCCGCGGAATACCACTACCAGAGCAACACAAGAAGCAGCTTCTGTAATAATGTAATAATCTAAGAAAAAGAGATAGAAAATGAGAAGGCATACATACTTCCTCCTTCAAGAACTCTGTAGAGCTTGGCTTCATATAGAAGCCGAGGATGCTTTGTTTTACTGTTCTCCTACAAAACGTTCGAATTATGCTCTTCTCAAACTCGAAATCACAGCTATACATAGCCACACAAACACACATAAGAAGAAGAAGAAGAAGAAGAAGAGAGAGAGACTCACCACGATACTTTATTATCTCCACTTCCACTCATTTTACTTTCCTCTTCAAAGCACGATCCTTAATGAAACTAAAAACATAAATAGAGAGAGATCTGAAATCAGCGAAGTCGCTCAAACGAGACTAGGACTCAGATAACCAAAACTCATATATACACTCTCTTCGTCAAGAGTAAGCCAAACCCGTAAACAACAATCAATGTAACCTATCACAAGAGTAAGTTCGTAGTACCCAAAAGCTCTAAACTTTCGACCCAGTGGGAAGCTATTTGATTGAACTACTATCGAAAAATTGAACCTTTCCAATCGATTCAAAGAACTATTTGGTTTTAAGTTGATTGGCCCTAACGCTTTATATAGTAGTAGATTAATTCTTATATTTCCGATGTGGGATGTTTCTCATCAATACCCTCCCTCACGCTCAAACATCGCCCAACATCGATATAGTAGTAGTTATAGTAAATTAGGTCAAAGGATCTTATCGCTCTGATACCATGATAGATTTGGGTTTATTATGGGCTTCCAACTTAAAACCAATTGGTGATTAGTGGATTGGCCCTAACCCTTTATATAGTAGTAGATTAATTCTTATATTTCCGATGTGGGATGTTTCTCATCAATACTAAGAAGAAACCCTATACCTTACCTTCGAGTCGACACCTATGTTCGTTCGTGTGCAATCTTCTCTCAACTTCTTTCAGGTGCTTGAGAGAATGAGAATTTTTTTCGCCCCGTGACGAAATTCTACCCAAAAGTCGAACTAATCACGTTTTGCCAACGCAGCAAGGATTAATCCTTAAACCTCTTCAATAAGGACTCATCCTTAGCCGATTGATTTTTTTAATATTACTTTACTCCTTAAACGGCTAAGGATTAATAGTAAGGATCCATTATGTTACCGCGTTGCGGGTGGTCTAACGTTTCTTGGACGTAATCATCGTAACTCGTGAATTCACACATCGTATCATCGTTCTAATTTGGCTACAATATATTTTCTCTTTTGTCAACAGTTTGGTTTTATATATGTACTGAATATACTATAACTTTAAACCCACTTTAGTGGTATTTTCGTTGTCTAGACATGCACTGCACATGATATGATCTGAATTTGAAATATTTATTACGCGACAACTATAATGACTATGAACTGAAAATGTCGTTGAGGCATTCGAATTCAGACTCTTTCTTTTTCGATGATTTATTTTATTTTTGATAGCGAAGTATGATTCTTCTTGTTTTATATGTTTTGTGGGGTTGGAAAGATAAAAGATACTGCCAAATAGCAATAGTATATATATATTTATGTATACAACTTTTATAGTTTTTTCAATTTATGTCGCATTCTAGAAATCTATCAAATGAAATTTAGATAACTGAAACTCATGTAATTGACAATGAGAATAAAGTAAACCAACCTGCGGTGCAACTTAAAATAAAGTTAATTTGGGGTTATTTCTTTCTTTCGATTCATTTTTGTGGGGAATTTTGAACTTGAATTTAAACTTTTATTCTTAGATTAGCTCACACCTCGTTAAAGAATGCACTTACAATAAATTAATTATTTGGCTAAACGAAAATTATATTTTTCGACTTTAATCCTTAGCTAAAATTTATAGGAACGAAATAAGAATTTAAGTCCAGCAAAAAGAAACAAAAATTGGTCAAGAAAACATGTTAACATTTACACTAGTGTTCATGACCGAATCACAAACCGGACAAGTTCGCAACAAAGCCGAACCACAAACCGTACACAAACACAAATGACGACAAGGTAACACCAACACACTCGCTTCTCTCTCACCACACCTCTTGCAAACGCCACCAACCGCTTTAACACTTTCACCACCTTCAACGCAACTTCCGCAGCTCGACTCCGCATCGTCTTCTACAACGGTTGCTGCGGTTGGTAACGTTTGGACTTGAGCCAAAACTTGGTCTAGGTTTGTTCGAAGGTTGTTAGCATGCCCTTCGTTGGTTTGAGCCATATCACGCCATATTTGGTTTTCAACGTAAAGACTCTTGACTCGATCTTGTAAAACATAATTAAGGTTTCTCATCCGTGCGATCTCGTCGTCTTTCCCTTTTAACTTCTTGGCTATCGCGTTCTGAAACGTAGACGCCAGCATCCGCGTTTGCGTTCGCTGATGAGCTTCAAGCTCTATTCTAAGCCTCTCCGTTTGCTGAATTACGAACCGATCAATCTCCGACTGTTGTTGGTTTTGGATCTGAGATATAAGTTCAGCGTTTCTCAACGATGACGGTGAACCAAACGCGCCTGGCCACCGTTTAACCGGAGACGCGAAGTGAGCGTCTGAGTCAAGGTCTTGGGATCGTCTTGGACGTTTTGAAGATGGAGGAAGAACAGAGGATGAGTTGAAGTTGTAAGAGAGACCACTTTCTGATTTGTTGAAGCAAGCTTTAGCTAAAGGATCGACGGCGAAAGATTCACCGGTTACAAACGGAACTTCGCCGGCGGCGAGATTAAACTCGCGGTGGTTCATGTTTTTTTCGAGTTTAATACAATTTCTGCGATGAACACACAAAAAATGATTATGGGAAAGCTTTAAAATGAAGAACATCAGGAAGAGACCATTTCTTGTCAAGAAAATAAAATAAAAACCAGTTTGTTAAAGTTTTGTTACCTGTTTGATAACAACTGAGGAGATAAAATGTTCATGTGGTAAGCTTCAACATCCATTGATAATTTGTATAAAACGCTCCAAGAGACTATATATATTTTTATATATGAATAAAGAGAGGAAGAGAGGAAGGAGGAGAGTTGTGGCGACTGGTGAAGAAATCTATGAGGATTGGCTTTTAATTAAGGTGAGAGAAAAAGTCAAATTATTTAATTTTCTATATATAATCGTTTTCTATTTTTTTCTAGTATGACTAGTTATTTAGACATATATATTTAGTTTCTTTAGATAGAATTGTCAATTCTGTGAAAGAAATCAATTTTTATGGTTAGAATTACCATATTTGCTTCTTCCTTATATGAATTACCATATTTGTTTGGTATGCTTTTTAGGTATTGTTAGATTTAGTTTTAATAAAATTGAAATTCTGGAAATAAAAATTTATGAACTTAATCAGAATATTTACCTACATATCTATTTATATATAGAGACCAAATATATGTCTATATATGTTTCTGTAAATTAGCAATGTTGGGTCTGTAAAAAGTAAAAAAATTGTAATATATTATCGAATTTCCTTTTTGTTCTTGATGCACTCATGCATCTACTCTATTAAAATAGAGTCATTCTTTTTATCTACTGATACAAGTTGTCATTTAAATTTGGACTCTTTCTAGAATGTTACAAATAATATAAGTCATATAATTAATTGAACCGTATTACTTAAATTAAATCAACAAAATTAATGTAAAAAGACGACCTTAATGTAAACTACCTTCAAAATACGGCAGATATCTATGTGTATACCAAAAACACATATTTTCTCCTACAAATATGGAATGTTCTAAAAGAATATATATCATCAAAATATGGAATATGGAAATTTACTAATTATACTTAAATTAAACCAGTGGTTATTTATGAAATATAGTTTTGGGCTTACTTTTATTTTTTGAACAAATTATATAGTTTGGTTTTTGCGCTTAGTATTAAGAAAAAACTCCAAAAACATTGAATAAACTTTTCACCTTAAAAAATCAAAAAATCAATTATTATTTTCAGACCCAAAAGGTATTTAATATTTTTAACTAAACAAAATTATCCACTATTAATCATTTATTTAAATCATGTACTTTAAACATGTTAATATATTTTTTATTTTAAATAACAATCACTTTGTTTTGATAAATTTCAATGGTAACTTTTAAATAATTTATTGTTTTATTTTTCTTAAATAATTTATTGATTAAAAAAATGTAAAGCAAAACCAAAAATCAAATCTAAAAACTAAAATCCAAAACCAAAAGCTGAAAACACATATTATATTTTTTGCTTTGTTTATTTACAAAATAAACTATTTCAATTTTTTTTTTTAAATTTTTTTTGATCTTCTCAGTTTTAAATTAGATGTTCGATTATTTGAGATTTGTTTGTTGGTAATATTTGTTCAAACTAACTCAGCGGGTTTAAAAATTAAAAACCCAAACCAAAAACTGAAAATGAAAAGTAGAAACTTAAAAACTAAAAACCAAAATCCAAAATCTAAAAATAAAAACTGAAACTAAAAACTAATGAAAAACAATCATCACCACAAATTTTAGTGAACTGATTTTATATCAAAATATTATTTAAATTATGACAAAACCCAATTATATAAATTTTTAATCATAAAAAATTTCCGCGCTTTTAAGCGCGGGTCAAAATCTAGTGTTTCCTTACACGAAAGTATGTAACAGTGTACCTTGACTAGTCAAAGCATCTTTGGCATCTCCAATCTATTTTCATTCTAAAATAGAATTTTAGAGTAAAAGTGTTTCAATGTTACTTTATATCTTATTATATAATAGAGTAAAAAAAATATTTACTCCAAATATAGAGTAATTTGTTTTTTTTTTTGTTCTGTATTCTATTTTTCACTCTAAAATAAAATACAATTGGAGTAAACTCTAACTCTATATACTATAGAGTGATTCTATTTTAGAGTAAAAAAAATGTGAACCATTAGAGATAATCTTATAATATCAATATCTTATTCTTTGTTACTTCTAAACTTAAAATCTGATAATGTACTATAAAAACTCATTTCCAATCAAACATGTTAGTTCATTGTACTCTGTCTACAATATTCCAATTTAATCTCTTCTCATTCAACCAATATTTATCTTCTAGATTCTTTTCCTTTTGGTGATAACTGTAAATAAGATCAATATTTAATGATATTTAATAGACAATTAAGAAAATGATATAAATATGCATATTCTCCATTTTCAGTTTTACTTATTTACAAAATTTAAACCATTTCAAAAGCTCACGTCATGCATTTGTAGTTACGAAACTCCAGCATGTCATATCTGAGACCCGTGAACCTATACGTTTTTATATATTTTGATAGCTGTTACATTCTTTTTCTTTTTGCGGTGGTGAATATTCTTTTATTTTTTGGGTAAATGCGGTGCTGAATATTCTATTTTAATAGTTGGTTGTTTTAAATCCTTAACAAAAAAGTATTCCAAAGTATTTTTGTTAACGACATATATTTTTTTTTCAAAAATAATTCAAACGAAACTCAAAAACCATAACTAGAACCAGATCTTCAGATTTTGAAAGTCTTATACAAAACTTTACAAATAAGTCATATATATATTAAGTAATTATATAAAATTTTCTTTTATATACTCTTTACATATTTATTTATAAATATCCAACTGAAATATATATTTTATTTTTCTTAATACATATTTACATATTTCTTAATATCCAACTGAAATACATATAATTTTCTTATTTTTAGACTATATTTTATTATAAATATCCAGTTAATATATCTATATGTTATATTAGTTAATATGTTATTTTTCTTACATAAAATATTTTAATACACTGTATTAATATTTTTCTGTTAATAGAAAATGCAAAAAGTTTTAATTACATGATTTTAATATTAAAATCACACTATTTTAGTGTGATTTCAATACTAAAACTTGTTAATCTCTAATCCAACGAAAAAATTATGTTCTAGTATAATTTTCACTCAAAACCTTCGATCCAATATTAACACCAGGTCCGTGCCTAGGACAGCCATTTTTTACAAAAATTAATAGGACATTTTTGTAATTATTGTTTTTAATTAAGGTATTTATTATTATAAAAAAAATAATTTAAATAATAAAAAATGTTTACATACATGGATTTAGATTAGCTGAATATGAACTCAGATGAAGAAAACTATAGAAGGTTTTTATTGTTATGCTTTTATGGTTATCTGATAACATTTTAATAGTTTTAGTAGTTAAATGACCAAATAAAATTTTCAAACTTTGTAATGAACCAAATTTTTTATCTTACTTTCATGATTGTGTTGCTAAAATTAGAATAAATAAAATAAAATTATTAAAATGAATATTTAGTTTAGTTTTATACTTTAGCTATGTAATTATAGTATTTAATGTATCAAATTTTAAAGTTTGAGGCATTTTATTTTCACCCGCTTCTGTTAGTTATAAGTGTTGGCACGCTCTGATTAACACCATTATTTGTTGGAGTTGAGTTGGAGATTAGAGCATATGCAATGGTAAGCTTGTGAAAAGAATCTTTAGGAATAGAATATGTATTTTTTTTTTTTGTACTTTTTGAATAGTTAAGAATTGTTATCAAATTGGTGTGTGCAATGGTGTTTCTCGTTTTGGAGTCCTTAAGAATAAAAAATATATTTTTTTAAAAAAAGTGAAATTTAAATTTTTATTTATTATACATGATTCAATAAAAAGATACACCAATTATTAATCTTCATCATCAAATTTGTTCCAAATGTTTTGAATTAAATCATTTTTCAGTCGGTCATGCACTTGTTTATCACGAAGATCATTCCGATTGGGAAACAAATTATTCACATTTGTAGGCATCTCGGTTTCCACCTATGAACTTCTGGTGACGTCTCCTTCAAATTCAGATATATCGATCCGAGTGTATCCATCCCGTTCATTTTCGACTATCATATTGTGTAGGATGATACATGCTCTCATAATGTTCCCTATCTTTGCTTTTTGCAATGTTTTCACCGGATTCTCACAATCGCAAATCGAGCTTGCAATACTCCAAAAGCCCGCTCCACATCTTTTCGGACTGATTCTTGAACTTTAGCAAATAACTCTTGTTGAGGGTTTTGAGGGAGGGTGATAGATTGGATAAATGTTGACCATTTTGGGTAAATCCCGTCTGTAAGGTAGTACACCAACTTATACATGTGTCCGTTGACCTTGTACTTTACCCTCGGAGCTCGACCTTCTAAAATGTCATCAAAAACTGGAGACCGATCAAGGACATTAATATCATTTAAGGTACCTGGAGGACCGAAGAAAGCGTGCCATATCCAAAGATCATGTGAAGTTACAGCCTCTAAGACAATTGTTGGTTTGCTTGATCCTTGTGCGTACTATCCTTTCCAAGCCGTTGGACAGTTTTTCCACTCCCAATGCATACAATCAATGCTCCCGATCATCCCAGGAAACCCGCGTTTCTCTCCAATATCGAGTAGTCGTTGAAGATCGTCCGCGGTGGAGCGTTGTAGATACTCATCTCCGAATAACTGTATTATTCCGTCAGTGAATTTATGTAGACATGAAAGTGCAGTACTCTCACCAAGTCGGAGATATTCGTCGACCGTGTCTGCCGCAGTACCATAAGCTAGCAGACGAATTGATGCCATACATTTTTGTAGTGCATAAAGACCGAACCTCCCGGCTGCATCTCTTCTTTGCTGAAAGAATGGAAAGCTCTCTGATAGGCCATGAACAAGACACAAGAATAATTCCTTATTCATGCGGAAACGGCGTCTGAATAAATGAGAAGAGAATATCGCATTTTCGCTGAAGTAGTCATTCCATAAGTGGGTGTGTCCTCCTTCGCGGTGTCGTTCTATATAACCATGTCTCCTTCGCGGTATGGTTTAGGCCTCCACTATGTTGTCGAATGTTTCTTCCAAGTATTCGTCGATTATTTCGTCCAATCTTTCATCGACTTCATCGGATGAAGATGATGACATATCTAGATATCATGTTATTAGTTCAAATTATATACAAGTTTTAAAAAATAATTTGATACAAGTTCAAATTTTAAGATAAATATAAATTGAT